CCCTTGGCTACTCATGTGCTAACAGATTGCTAAAAGCGATCATAATAGTTAGCGTTGTCATTGGCAACAACTTTCATGTGTCTGTAGTGAGTAAGGAATCTACGTGTAGTCAACTGTGGTACTTTTACGATTTGTTTTTAAAATGAAGACTGGATAAATTCAAATGACAGCATTAAAGAAACTGTCTGATTGTCTGTGGTGTCACTGGAGGTGCAGCTGTTTTTTTAAAAATTGTTTCCCCTTTGAAAAAGCGTGGACATCTGTGCTCTCCACCTTCACTCATGAAACTATATACATTTATAGTCTGAACCTTGTTTATCTTTGCATTGACAGTGTCTATGGCAAGAGAGTATTGGAGCAATGAAATCCAATGACTTGTCAGACGTTTTATGTCTCTGTATGACTTCCTGGAATAAAAGTCAGTGACTAACTCCACCTCTGAGAACTTGCAGCTCCAGCACTTTCACTCGTTTCCTCCCCAGCAGAAATAAAAACGCCTGCAGGCCGCAGTCCATGCCATGCAGCAACAGTAGGATTCCGTATGTTAATGTGCGTTAGGAGTCAATTGAAGAATAATTGAACTCGGAGACAAAGCCATTGTGTTCATCAGTTTGCATCACAAGAGCCATGAAACGCATTAAGGTACAACACACCGTGGATTAAGGTGCTTTTGTGCGTGAATGCATATTCAGAGCGCGGCTGGAGGTGAAATAAGCATCGATAATTGGCAGAGCCGTCAACTTCCGCTCACATGGCGCTCCTTACTGAATAATAAATCTCAGATGCACGTCAGACTCTAATGTCATTATTAGAACATCTCCGTCTCAGTGCAGCCTAACTGTCATCATGTGTTTATGTTGACACACTGTGCTCCAGTGGGATGTGACTGAGGGAGCGTCTGCCCTACATATTTACAGTGGCTATAATCCACTGAGTGACTTACCGTCTATAGAACCACAAACACGGCCTTTCTCCGCACATACATCCTCAGATGACTGAGCTGAATTTGTCAGAACTCGAGTGTCATATTTTCCCCCAGCTGGTGTGAAAGAAACACTGAGGCCTTTGGTGTGGAACAGAAAAAGGGTTTTAATCGTGTGCATGTGTGTGTGTGTGTGTGTGTGTGTGTGTGGAGGCTGCACGAATGTGCCCTTGAGCCAGACCTTGCACCCTAGTTCCAGTCTGCCTCGAGTTTACACAGAGCTAAACAAAAGTGCCGTGCGTTCGAAATCGCAGCCTGTTATGTATACACTGGTTTGTAACGTTTGTGTGTGTGTGTGTGTGTGTGTGTGTGTGAAGTAGCTGCACATGAGAAATAAATGACAGACTTGTTTTCAAGATCACAGCTTCCGTTGCGTGACAACAGACAGTAGGGACATGATTGTGTCTGTTTATCCTCTTAAAGCGCCACTAAATACTCACTGACTAGACACTGTAAGGCGGACTGAAGAGTTGACTAATCAATCTGAATATCTGAAAACTCCCACACTGATGATCCCTCCCCCCCCCCCCCCCCCCCCCCCTGCACAAAACAGATCCTGCAGCCCATTCTATCTCCAAACACCGAGGCAGAGAGTCATCTGCCATCCTCCATTCACACAGCACCGCTCCAATCCTCAGATAAGAGAAGACGAGTGTGCGCCCTGCACTGGCGCAGATTGGCATTGTTGTGATGCAGCCTCTATAGTCTGAACACAACTGCATCAAACACAGCTCTCTAATCCACTGAGACTAGACCAGACATGAGCCGCTCTCTTCTTTTCTTCCCGGAATTATATTTCCTGCTCTGGTTTCTTTAATCGAGATTTTGTTCGGAGCTCGAACCGAAAACGCCAAAAAACAGAAAATGTACAGAAGGAAATGCAGTAAACAAATGAAAAAAATAAATAAATTAAACACAGCAGCAGCTAGCAGCAGCTAGAACCTGTGCGTATCTGTCTAAAATGTTGCCGTGTTGTGTTACATTCGCCTGTCCCTGCGCCTTGGTCGCCCGCTGCAGGTCAGAGTGCAGCCACGCTGCTGTGTGTGTGTTTTCGGGCACATCCCAGATGCTTGCGTAAACATGCAAACCTTATCCATCCATGTGAGCCCGTCTTGGTGTTTCAAGAGAAAGCCGGGTCTCGGTTATTTGACGTCACGGTGTCTGAGAGGAGGAACTTGAAATGTGCGACTTAGACAAGAAAGGAGGAGGAGGAGGAGAAAGAGGAGGAGGATGGGGAGAGAAGGAGCAGAGGGGGAAGGAATGGTGGGGGCTAAAGGGAAGAAAAAGAAATAAAGTCAAATGGAATGCAATGGACCTGGGCGCGCTTGCGCAAAAGTCCAAAATGACTCTTGGATCAACATTTCCAAAAGTTAATGACAGTTAAAGGCACGTGTGTGACGAATGTGTGTAAAATTGTTACAAACGGAGCCTTCTTCATCCAACGGCGCTCCTCCATAAACACATGTCTACATGTGCTGTGTTTTGTACAGTAGATTTGAGCTGCTGTTCAAACCAAACGTTTTTTTCTTCTCTTGCCGTTAAATGCTTATTATTGCCTCCACTGATGTGAGGCAACTCCTTAAGTTGTTTTTATGAAGCGGCTCCTTGTTAATCTGGCGGTGGGAGACGCTTTTGGCAACGTGTCCCACTTTCACGGTCACACACACAGTGTCCTCACATGCCCGTCTTCAATCTGCACGCTGCGATTATTTTGCAAACACTCGCAAAAATAAAATAAAGTTATATCGAAGTTGCAGGTTCAACTTGTAGAACACGTGACCCACATGCGTTAGCTCCAACATGCACTCATGCACGAAAAATAAAATCATTGTCAAGTTCAAGTGACTCCTAATAGTCTGATCATACAAAACCCAGGCGGCAGAACAACAAGGTCGTCATAATAATAATCATAATAATCATAATAATGATAAGGTCGCAGCCGTAATGTAGCTTTTCATATTATTATTTTTAATTTCAGTCAAAATTATTTCCGTTCACATTTCTTCATAAATAGTCGGTAGAACAAATCAACTAACACACAGCAGCCTAGAAAAAAGTACAAGGAAACCGTGGAAAGCCTGTGGTAGCTGAATAAGGCTGTCATTACGCACATGTATTTCTTCATGTATATATAATATAATAGAATATCATATAGTAGGCCTGCTGTTGCAACATGGATTGCCCGAATGTGGCACAGTGACACAGTTCATCAGTAAAACAGTTCTGCTGTTGCAGGAATCACTTGGAGTTTGACCCATTTCTCCCACAAATGTGTTACAACATCACATTCGAGCTGTGTTTGCACATCAGATAATTCGTATTTTCTCTCACCTCTGGACATGGGGGCAGAAAAAGGTGGCATAAGTCAAAGAAAAATCACTTCTGTTTTTAAATTAGGATATAGAAAATAGCATATAAAACATATATTCCTTAAATTATTTAAATAAACTCATTTTATATATCACTGTCAAGAGGTACCTTTTTTACACGTTTGTTTTAAAAGTACTGCTGGTGGTTCTGAAATTGTTCTCAAATCTGAGTACAATATACTTTGTGTCTGCATAATATTTTTAATTCTTCAGAATAGGTTACAATGCAATGCTGTAACTCCTCTTTTTTGTGTTTTCTCCACATTCCACATAGTACGATCTAAAATTCCTTTTTCCTTTTTTTAAGCACAAAGGAAAAAAAAACGTCATCTTGACAAGTTATTCACACAAAACAAGCAAATGTGTCATTAAAACTGCTCAATATGCAACAACCACGACGAACAGCACGCTTTTTTATCACAGAAGAATTACGTTTAAAACAATGCAAGCTGACAGACAAAAAAGGAACTTTTTATTATTTTTGAAGATACTGTGTTGTGACAGCTCCATTGTTGCCGATGCACACATTTAAACATACTTGCACAAAGACATTGCTGGAACTAGAAAGAGAGAAACTGCCATAGTGGCGCAAATAGCTGCGGGTTTTTGACCCCATTTGAAAAAAATAAAATCATAATAGTCTTAACCTTGATTTTGGAGATCGTGAACTTCACACATTTCTCCTCAGACCTGTGTAAGAGTGCAATAGTCAGATTTACCCCCAGCCCCCTTTAATACTGAGTTTATGCTACGATTTGACATCTAGTTCTCATCCTATTAAAATAAAATACACAGAAAATTAACTCCAAATAAAAACGAAACACCAACAGAACCGTTTCATAGCGTCCCAGCTCAGCTCAACTCAGTTTTTTTTCTACAAAGTGAGTGATTTACATGTCAATGGTCTCACCAACAAAAACAAAAGTGACGGGAATATTTGCAGTATATATAGACAAAATCCATTCTGTTCATATAGATGTTTTCTGAGATCCAAATAAGACACATGGAGGCCTGGTGGTTAAAATAAAAATCTAAATAAATCAGAAGGATACAATCGCGATGTTGGAGATTTAGAGTTTATCATTTGTTCAATGTTAATGACCAAAAACTGTACAGTTCTTGTTAGAAAAAACAAACAGACATTTGTTTCCATAAATATCATTTAAACTTCAGAACTCATACCCATAATTAAATTACAAATCGATAAATATGGCATCATGGATAGTTATTTACAACGGTATTAACAAAAGGCAGCGGTATATTCAAAACGGTAACAATCGTAAGCACATTTTCTCCACCTGAAAAAACGGACGTTAGTGACAGTAACAGATTCGACCCCATCAAACAAGGAAATTACATTCACGAGTATAATATTTATTTAGGGTTTTTTTTTCTTCTTCTTCTTCTTCTTCATCTGTGTTCAAGTTCATGACAAAGACTTTGGCACGTTTCTGAAGTTCCAACAATCAATTGAAGAGGCGACAGTGGCTACGTCACCGTCATATATAAAACAGCACGGAATAAATCTGCTTCCTTTTTTTAATTCCACCTTTTTTTAAATAAAAATTTGAGAAAATACATAAAAGGAAAAATAAACGATTTTTTTTCTGAAAACCGAAAAGATAAAAAAGAACATTTATTTGTTTATACTGAGAAAGGAGGACGCTTGTCTTTTTTTTACTTGTGTTTTTTTTATTCGACAAACTTGTGGAATCAGAGTCAAAATTTTAGTAGAATCCTGAGAACGGACGTGGCCTGCGTTCTGCTGGCGTTTTTAGTCGTCTCCTGTGGTTGTAGCAGTAGTTGTCCTAATCCAAGCATGTGTGTGTGTGAGTGTGTGTGTGAGTGTGAGTGTGTGTGTGTGTGTGTGTGTGAGTGAAACAGGGATATTTACTGTATTTATTTATTTTGTATTACTATTTAAAAATGTCTGTTTCGTCTCCTCGTCATCCCTCAACCCCGTGGTCCACGTTGGGGGGAGAATGACGGAGGGAAGGGTGAATTTTGGGTTGTTCGCTCCTCCTGATTCTCAAACGTACCATTCATTAAAGTTTGGTGCCAGTCCTTCGCTGTGGCCAGACGTGTTTTGCACGACTGACGGCGGCGTTTTTGTCGGGTCGTCGCTGTTGGCTGAAACCAGCACCGGCGGCGTGGACGACTCGTATCCAGAACTTGCTGCAGGAGACGATTCGGATCCTTGAGTCTCGTGTACCTATGTAGAACAGTGGGGGTTAAAGAACCAAGGGTCAGCAGGAGTGAATTTGAATTTCAATGAGAACCCAGTACAGCTGCTACCATCAAAACGTGTGCTAATCACGGCTTTTTATTCCATGTAAAACGTGTAAAACAAAACAAAACAAAACAAAACAAATATTACGCACTCACTACCAACACGTTTAACTGAAAATAGAATAAATGTAATATTGTAGAATTACAAAGCAGTGTTCCTAAGAAGGCCTGGTGTTAGTTTCTGCTGTGTGTGTGTGTGTGTGTGTGTGTTTAACCGGTAATGAAGACGTTAATTACCTTCATGTGTTTCCTGAGAGAGCTGGGGTGTGTGTAGGACTTGTCGCACACTTTGCAGATGTATGGCTTGTCTGATGTGTGCACATGCATGTGCTTTTTCCTGTCGCTGCTGTTGGCGAAGCGTCTGTCACAGCCATCAAATTCACACTTAAACGGCTTCTCACCTGCAGGATTAAACACACACATCGTGAATCAACGGCCCCACGAGAAAAAACAGGCAAAAAATAAAAAAAGAATGCACCCCCCGACCGGCTCTAAATACCCCCTAAAACACTGCGATCTAAATTGTCTGAAGTCTGTAGTAATACCCTTGTGTAACCCACTTTTCAGGACGCAGTGAGAGCAGTTCCACTACCACTACTCGTAGTACTACTACTGCACACCACTCTTCCAGGCTGTATTTATTCAGGAGGCCTGCACCGTCTTACTATTGCTCTGAGTGACTTTTGTAAACAGTGAATCAACAGATTATTTTTGAACTTTGCAGAGACACAGCAGCACGACGCTGCAAACGGCTACAAACTCACTACGGACTAAATAATTGTAATTATGCACAACTTTCCCCCCACTAAACAGCAGGAGTTCCCAGCCCCCCTTATTACAATGCACAAATGCTAAAATGCAAATTCCCACCAACTGTGGCAAGTGAGAAGAGTGTCACTTTGTAAATTACACACAAATAACTTTTTAACACTAAGCTACAGAAATATTCTAACAGCAGTTGTTCAAAAACAACAACTACATTTTCTCACTAGAAAACGGAGGTGGCTATTTTATTATTTTGAGATAATGAAGAAAAATGTAAAAAAGAATATTCTGAGGTAACGTTAATCAAAGCGTATTAAATGTAACAGTTACAGCCTGAAGTTTTAGAGTGGCTCTAAAAGTACAAATTCAAACTAAAACAATGAAACCTTGTGGGAAGTACTGTTGGAAACAATGGCTGAGACTTTTTTTTTTTAAAGATCACCAAAGTCCTTCATCAACAAAACTCCGTGCTGCAGTTACCTACCTGTATGTGTTCTTTTGTGTATTTTTAAATTTTCCGATCTGGCAAATATTTTCCCACATCCAGGGAAAGGACAGGGGAACGGTTTCTCGCCCGTGTGCACTCTGATGTGGTTGACGAGTTTGTACTTGGCCTTAAAGGATTTGCCTTCCCTCGGACAGTCCTCCCAGAAGCAGATGTGGTTGGTCTGCTCCGGGCCGCCGACGTGCTCCATGGACACATGAGTGACCATCTCGTGCATGGTGCTGAAAGTCCTGTCGCAAGTCTTTTTGGGTCTGTTCATCTGGTTCTCCTCAATCCATTTGCATGACAGTTCTTGCTTAATGGGTTGCCTCATGTATCTAAAGAAGGCCCCCGGACCGTGGTGTGTCGGCACATTCATTCCCATGTTCATATTAATAGGGTGGTTGTAGTTGTGGAGCTGAGCCCCGTAGGGGTCCGTCCTAGGGCTGGCGACCGGGCGATACGGGTCGGGTCTCCCGAAAATGTCCCCGCGTAAGCCCAAATGCATTTGGCTGTTAACAACATGTCCACTAGGTGAACTGTGGCTCACCCCCTGGTCGTGGAGTCCAGGAAATAACAGATGACCGGGGTTCTCGGGGATCCCCGGCGGCCCATGGAGACTCCCGGCCGAAGCTGCAAAGATCCCGTGCTGCGCGCTGGGCGCCGCGGTCTCTCCAACCCCCCGGTTCCGGAAAAGAAAGTCCCGTGTTGAGTTGAAGGCTCCCCCTCCGTACGAGCCCACCTGCCCGCCGTGAGAGTGTCCCAGGGCGGCTGCATAACCGGAGGCTTGCGGGGTGAAAGCTGACGTCTGGCTGGAGGCGATGTCGTGCGCCACGGGGCTGATTTTGAAAGCCGCAGAGTGAGAGGAATCACCGAAGGGGTTCAGTCCCAGACTCGGGTCTCTGTTCCCGATGTCGTGATGCCTGGGTGTCCCGAAACCCCCCACTCCCAAGGATGCAAACTGCGGACCGCTATCAAGCAGCATAGTCATGAGCTTGAAGCAAACTTCTGGGAGACGGGGAAGAAAAACACAAAAACAAAATTAAAATCCAGTTTAGCGGAGCGCACGAGCTGCAGCCACCGCGCAGATTTTTTACCACGTTTTCGCAGAGAAAAAAAATCCTAAAATTAAAAAAAAAAATCAAGCCAAGCCAAACGGGGAAAATCCTGTGCGAAGTGTGATGGGAGAAAAAAAACTCCCGTGGACTGCGATCCGTGAGAAAGAGGCTCAAACTTCCCCCCCTTTCCAGGCGGATGATGTCCTTGGACTGATAAAGTCAATCACTCACTCCCAGAACATAAATGAACTCGGGAGGCAGTGCCACGGCAGCCAATCAGCGCTCGGCTACCCCCGTGACACGTGACCGCAGAGGAGGGTGTCAATTGGCTGGATCTCTGGTGATTGGCAGCGTGGGCTATTGAAGATGGCAGCTCGTCTCAATTGGTTTCATTTGATTGGCTCTTCGCAGGCTTTATTCTGCAGGTATCACAGCGGCTCGGTGGAGCGCAGAAAAGTCCTGGACTTGTTGTTATGTGCGGCGCATGACTTATGCAGCTGTTTCTGATTTATGCGTGGCAACTCAACACGTTTAAAGATAGAAAAAAAGAAAAAACCAAACTCCGACATATATAATATGTACAGACTTTCATAGAGAACCGTGGAGGCAGAGGAGAGGGCTTTTAAACTCAGATTTTACAGCAAAGAGGCTGTTATACGTTGTTTGAAGGAGAGATTCACTTCTGTATGTAGTTTAAAACATAAAAGTACAGTTTAATATTTATATTCTAAAACTATCTATCTATCTATCTATCTATCTATCTATCTATCTATCTATCTATCTATCTATCTATCTATCTATCTATCTCTAAAATGATCACTTTGACAGTTATCAACAAAAAAACTTGATTTTTACGCATTTGGCACACCTCCCAAATGTGCACTTTCTTGACGCCACTTGAAAGAGAAGACTGTTTTTCCCTCTCGCGTAAGCCTTAGAGGCGTTTCGAGATATAAAAGAGTGAAAGAAAGATGACAGTAATTGTAAAATTCTGAAGTTCTCCCCCTCTTTTCCAGCCCCTCAGCCCCCCAAAAATTTCGTGCCATTGAGCAAAGTTTCACAGGCTGCCGCTGACTCGCTGCAGGACACATAAAATCTGATCAAGTTCAGAGACGCGCTGCGTGAGTGCTTCAAGCGGCGCTTTTTAACTGCGAGCCTTTCACGTCCTTTCCCCCTCTCACTTCTCTCTCTCTCCCTCTGTCCCAGGAAGGAGCTCATATTCTTTATTTTAGGGGGATCTGGACCCCCCCTTTACCCAAAAAAGAAAAAGAAAAAGAAAAAAAACCCACTTCAAATCAGTTCATTTTTGCTTTAACCCTCGTCCCACAGCACTCACTCCCAGAACATTTCCTCCACAATGTTGAAAAGGTGAGTTTTCTGACTTATTTTGGGTATAAAGTAGTACATAGAAGAGTGGAGGCACAGGCCCTTGTGAGTTTCTGCATGTCACTGGAGTTGGTAAAAATCTAACTTTTTTTTTATTTAGTCTATGGAGTTTGCAGGGGATTTATCGTTTTCCTGAAGTGAAACCACGGACTCCTCAGTGCGCACAGGCCTGTCTGTTACTCACAGGGTAATATAGCTGTTGCAGGGACCTGCATACCTTTTTTACGGCCTGTGTGCACAGGCACTCAGTGCAACACTTGCGCTTTTGGTGCAAAACTGTAGCCACTGCTGTCGGCGCAAAATTATTTTAACATTTCATTTAAAAAAAATTAAATTGCTATATGTTGCACTACGCAGTAAGGAATAGCCTCGCTCAGGTTATACACTCCCCCCCCTTTGACACACACACACACACACACACACACACACACACACACACTGAACACTGTTGGCTTTTGCACCGGGGGCAGATTTATGGAGACCTTTGTGAACTCGCACAAGTGACAAGCGGCCTATTAAGTTTCCCCATATTCCCTCCATATTTTATTGGCTCGTTGAAACGTGAACGCTCCATACACCACTTCACGTTATTCGTGCCGTGTGCTCACAGGGACATCTCAGACACACTGCCACCGCGAAATGTTGGAAACAAACAAACAAACTAAAAAAAAAACCCTCGGTTGGTTCAGATGAGTCACAGATATTTGTGAAGGGCAGAGGAAGCAGCAGAGACGCTGAGCTCAAGCTGAGAAAAAAGGGGGCAAACATGTCATCAGACTAATGCAAAACAACTGTTGCTGAGAGTTACAAGAAACTTCAGTGCACAGGTGGACCTTTGATGACGTGTGTTGTCCTATCTTCTCTTACAAACATCAAGGCCTCCAGTTTCCGGGATTCCTAATTAAATCCATTCTGCTGTGATAACACCAAGTTACTACATGCACTCTATATTTTCAGCTTTTATTAGTTTATTGTGACTCAACAAAGGCCGTGTCGTGTTAGAAAATAATTTAACTGGACACCAGTCAAACGTCACTGCAGCATTTGACCTCAATCACCGCTGGAACATGTCCTCCAAATATGATTTATTTTATTTTTTTAAAATCATAGCTATACTTTTACTTTTGCACCCATATAATTAATACATATTTCACCTTAAAGCATCCTTTTTACTGCCTGTGTGCATATGGATCATGTTTCTTCCTTTCCCTCCTCCCTCACAGACTTAAAAAAAATCTTTATTCTTAATTTCCACCCGAAGGCCTCCTCCTCCTACATTACATTCTGCAGAGCTGCAGTATATGTATAATGTACTTATCTCTGCTGGGATTACCTCACTGAGCGTTGGGATTGCCCATTGGTTCGAACATAACCTTATTCAGACTGAGCATGCGCGTCACCTTAAAATATCTCGATATTGTTGTGTACATACCTCTGTGACAGTAAGGCTCCTGCTGCTGGAACACAGAGGAGAGCATAACCAGCAGCCAACATGGTAAACAGCTCACACTTATGCATTCACTCTAACTTTACCTGTTAGTCGGCAGCTGTGAATGTTGTCGTAGGACACAGTCTGATAAATGGCTTAAATTTAAGAGGTGGTCTGTAACACGGTGACAGCCACAGTTTGGTCTGTTGTTTTATTTATTGCTACATTTTTCTTAAATAAAAGCTGAACAAACTCTTCATGTGTTCTGGCTTTGACTGTGTCTGACTGGACAGGCCGCCAGTGCTGAAATGTTTGACCGAAAATAAATGTATTGTCAGTGTAAAACCTCTTTTTACCTTAGGAAGATTGCGTATAACATTTTATTCTATGTTTGCTTTAGAAACAGGTCAATTTTTCTTCACGACACAAACAAAAACAGTTTTGCAGCTTGCCTAATATTTTTAAAATGTTTAAAGCAAATTCTCTGCACTTGAAAGCATGCTGTACCATGTCAACCGTGTTAAAGGTCAGGTTTTATTCATTCTTCCATTTTTTTCCAGATTAATTGCGTAAATGCCAACATTGCTTTTCTTTTAATTTAGTTAGAAAACAGTTCTTGACTGAAACATGTATAATGACTTATTTTCTTCAGTGCTTTGAGGAGACACATGTTGTTGCTACGTTGCGTTGTTGTTAGCTGGAGCTTTTCGTGGACACATTTTCATCATCATCATGTTACCTGATAAGATGACTGTGGACTTTACACCAAAGATGTGGAGGTTTACTGGTGGAGTAAAAACTCACCTGGATTGTAGTGATTTACGATCTCGTGCATGACCTCTCATTGCAGCCAGTGTGATTGTTCGCAGTGCATTTCACAGCCATTGTCACCGAAGTGCTCTGTCATGTCCATGAACTGCACAGTCAGATTAAATGTATGTTGATAAAATCTTCACCGCTCGTCATTTCTATGTCATATATCATATGAATAATGAGGATTTAACTGCAGTGAGTGACTGTGTTTATAGTGTGATTTCATGTGGCTGATGGATAGTACTACTTACAGATTTCTTGGTGTGATTTGTTGAAGTGTCTGTCTTCCCAAAGCTGCAGATTCTACACTGGGTGCTGCCATTCCAGAAATGACAATGTCACTACAGTCCAAACTCATGCATGCTTTCTTAATAGTGTTTGGTTAATTGCATGCATAGAGACACAAAAAGTGTGTTCAAGGTATGGCCTGGGGGCCAATTACGGACCTTACCTAGGTTTTATTGTAGCCTCAGACTTTGGACTGTGTGTAAGGTGTAACTCACAAGTATGCAGCAACTATTTTATCGATCCGTCTTTTTTGATTTTTAAAGCACAGAGTCTCAATAAAGCTCATATTCTAGCGTTAGATATTTCTATTTTTTATGGGAATTTCTATTTTTTCCTCTAGTTTTGCTTGATCTCGACTATTTACTCTCAAATAAAATGTCGTGTTTTATCAGTTTTTAAATCATGACCCAAGTAAAAATCAACATTTGCAGAAGTAGAAGGCAAACACACACACACACACACACCAAAGATGCAATTAGCGATACACTGAGAGAGCTATGATGCCTCATAATAACAATATTGTTATTATTACTACATTTTTGTTGTTGTTTCTGAGTCATCTAAAAATATATTTTCTTTCAACTTTGGTCCTTGATTTACCCTCATCACAATATTTTCAATACTTCAATATTACTGTATTTTAATCTCAGCGTTTTAAATGCCTTAACTCCTTCACTGTTGTCGTCGTACATTTATTTCTTATTCTTTAGCCGGGAAATATTCTGGTCAAAATGTGTTTATTGTGGGAAGTGTGTTATTCTCCTGCGTCAGTCAGTGGGACTTCTGCTGGCGAGTCAAACAACCAAAACTCAAGAATGAAATAAAACAGGACAATGTTAAATAACTGAGACTGCAGCTGTTGACATGTCTGAAAGTGAAGATGTGGTAGAAATTTCTGTCTAAATTAAACAGCTAAACTCACATTTTGTTCGATACGATGAACAAAACAGGAAAAAAGCTATGGTAAAACTGTGTAAGCGTAAAAAAGAACACTGATATTAAATTTGTAATTTCCCAAATAATTATTTTCTAATTTGTTTAACATTTTGCAGATGATGTCCTTATGTATTTTCAATGAAACATAAAAATAAAACTGAGAGAGAGTGACTTTTGAGGATAATTTTGTAAATAGACATGACCTTAAAATATAAACACATGAGCCTTTAATTATTTAAAGAATAAATACTAATGTTTAACTGCAGGCCCACAGTGGACTAACTAGCCTTAAACAGATAAAATCACCTTTGAAATAGCATTTTTTCCCTTCTTTTTTTACATGGTGTTTTTGCTTCACTTGAACTTGTAATCATCTGTCTTTGACTCCTTTCTGTTCCTGAATGACAGATTGGAAACCTTCACTTTATTTGTCCTTCACTCTTCAATCATTTTCGGAAACGCATCGGGTTAAAGGTTGACAAACATCAGCGTCCATTACAATCATGACAGAATTAGGCCGGTTCTGGGTCTGTCTGCTATTTTGCGGCACTTAATGTCAAGTGGGCCCCCAATGCTTTTGTCTCAGTCCAGGATCCACTGCTGGTGACGTCAGCATAACAATGATAGAATAGAAAAAAAAACTCCTTTATTTAAAGAAAAAGTGGAAAAACCCAGAAGCCCAAGTCTTTGGGGAAACGGAAGAATCTGGTTTAAATCTATTGGGCTGCAGTCTAAAACGTTGCCCTCGTATTTCGATTTAAATCCAAGCAGCGGATAAATTAGTTAATTTAATGTCGGTCTTGTTAGAGAAAGGGACCAAGGAGAGAGGAGAGACGTGCGCACAGAGAGCACGGAGCTGCTGTCCTCACAGAACCTTAAAGTAAGAAAAGTTGATGCGAGTTTCCTGTGAACACACGAGCCAATCCTGAGCGCTTTGTCACGTTTCATCATTTCCATTTTACGCAAGCAGCGCACTTTTGATGATTTTTATTTTTTATTTATTTAGGCTTCCCAAGAAAAGAGGGTGTATGTATAGAATGGTTCACATTGGGCTGAGGTAAAATAGTACAGAATGTTCTGTGGTTAGGTCCCAGAATACACTGCGGGTCGACATTTGACTTAAATAATAATTTGTTTTCTCCAGTAGGGCGATGATAAATGTGTGTGCTGCAGAAATAGGCTACTGGTTGCCTTGATGTTTTTTAATTTGTATTTATTTATTTTTTAGAATGAACACAATTTTGTAAATGTTATTTTTGAAATGTAACACAAATTTTGGTTTAAATTTGTGAACAGGACACTAAATGCATTTTCATTCATTTATTTAATGTATAAAACAACTTTTATGTGCTCTTCAGTGCCACTCTGCTCCAAAGTACAAGTCTTGACAGTGATTGGCCTGGACACGGAGCGCACGGTCATTCTCTCCGAACTCAGCATCAGGGCAAGTGCTTTTTGACGATCTCTAATGAAACTAAAGACCTGACAGAACACCCATTATTGTTGTGTCTGTGTTGTGTTTTTTTTTTTTTTTTTTTTACTTAAGTCTGACATTAGCACTGCACTCGTACATGTTACGTAGACTGTTACGCAGTACTGTGCGTTGGTCTATGGTCTACTATACAGAGATTTCGTATATGACACACGAAGTGAAATAAGCAGCAATATTTGGGAGCACCGCGGCACATTTCAAAGCATTTTCTGTGCGTTATTTGAAAAACGGAGTCGTGCGGTGAACGCCTGCGTGTCCCTTTTAAAACAAACCCAGCGCCTGTCAATCACAGCGCATTCCAGCCAATCCCAAAGCTCCCTTTTTAAAAGCAGGTTTGCCTGCTGTGCTTTTATTTTGCACCATGGCCTGTTTCGAAGCATTTTTACTACCACGGTTATTGCCACAAATCAAGAGGGCAAAGTGAACGGCATGGGACTCACATCAACTCTCACCAAATTGAATCTGGTTCCTACTCCTGCGACCTTCACGGCCAAGAATTTCACATGCAGATGATGTAGCCTGCAAGAGGGGGAACATGGAAACAGAAATTCTAGGTGTGTCCTGATTGTGGAAGAGGGTGATTTTGCAAACTCAGAGCCAAACTCACAACATAACATGACAAGCCTTTCGAGGTTTAGTGGCTGCCCTCTCTCTTGTGTCAACCCTGGGGAGAGCAATACTGAACCCAGCGTGGTGCTGCCACCTTTGGCAGGAGAGCACATGGGGCACCCCACTGCTAGTTCCTTAAAACTCTGCCCCTCTCACAATTTGCGAGACTACCTCGAGACGAGGTCCAGTGCATATGTTGACCACTCGGTTCCCCATTTTCCAGACTCTGGATACCCCAGCCACCGGCTAGAGCACAGCCCTAGGGGCATTATCATTGGAGCCAATCTCTCTGGAGCCGGCATGCCACCCGTCACTGACCAACTGGCATCAAGACCCAACCAACATGGCGGGATTGGAAGGTACCGTGACTTCCATGGCTGCAGGGACAGCAGGAGCCATGCTTTTTTCACAAGTTACCAGGAGCAGGCCCACGCCTCCACCGACGTATCCAGAGAACTGGGCGGCCAGATGATGCTGGGTTTACCGGGCGACTTCCTCACCCGGGCTCACCCTTATGGCCAAGGAATCAGCCCCAAGGGGAACAGCCAGCAGCTGGTCACACAGTTCCTGGGTCTGTACAAGCCCCTGAATATGGCACTTCAGCGAGGGGCAGGAGCAGGCGACGCTTTCCTCAGGTGCCCCAGACAAACAGTGAAGCACGAGCTGGTGTGCAAGTGGAGTGACGGCCCGGAGGGGCTCGGGAAGATGTCCTGCTCCAGAGCCTTCGGCACCATGTATGAACTTGTCAGCCATGTGACAGTGGAGCACGTCGGAGGACCAGAGCACTCCGAGTACGTGTGCCACTGGGAGAACTGTGCGCGGGACAGGAAGCCGTTCAAAGCCAAATACAAGCTGGTGAACCACGTCAGAGTGCACACGGGGGAGAAGCCCTTTCCGTGCCCTTTCCACGGCTGCGAGAAAGTGTTTGCAAGATCAGAAAATCTAAAGATCCACAAGAGGACTCACACAGGTCAGTTCATTATAACTGCCACAAGAGGACTCACACAGGTCAGTTCTATATTATACAGTTCTATTATAACTGCTTTTTGTAGTTAACGTATTTATTATTATAACAGCTAATAAAATTATTGTTATTATTATTGTGATTATTATTATTATTATCGTCAGTGGTATTATTTATTTTTATTTTTTATTTTGTTAATTGTACAACAAACTCAGACAATGCGTCGATAATCGCGTCCCATCTCCGTCACTGTTCGGTTCCTGCAGGAGACGAACGTGTTCAGGCTCCATGCAAGAACCTGCACAGCAGTTCCTCAGCAGAGCCCTGCAGGCCCAGCGGTTTTTGGGTGCCTCTCCCACTTCATTCAAAAAAATAATAAAATAAATGCCAGGACACCGGAGAGCTGTGACGTAGACGTTACGCACTCTCTCTCCCTCTCTCTCTACCTCCCAGGGACTCTGCCTCCCTCCTGCACAGCAGTGATACAGGCCCTGTGTGAGGAAAAAAAAATTTTAAAAAATAAAACGAACTCCAACACCAGCCCAGTAAAGGACAGACACGGGTCACATTCCAAAGAAATCATTCATTTACGTCCCTCTCTTTAGTTGAAATGAAATCTTTAACGCTTCCCAACAACTAGTTTAATCCATTTGTTATACATCTTTTCTATCGATTTTTAAAAATTAATTTATTTAATTTTTCATTAATTTTTTTCTTAAGTTGCCGAGCAATGCAATCGCTGCTTTAGAAATAAATACATAAACAAACAAATAAATAAATAAGGGAGTGGCCCTCAGGCACAAAGAGCGTGTGTGACAAAACTGATGTGATTTTTTGTGCTATTTTTTTATTCCATTATTTTACTTTAAAAAACAACAACAACATACAGAGACAGTTACTGACTGCAGGTGCACAGCCATGAAGATATAATGACACATTGTTTTTTATTTATTTAAATATATATATATAGTGAATTCGACAATGACTGAGGGCAACAAAGGGCGACAAATAAAGACACTTAAATATATTAGTGTTTGGTTCAGATTATTTAGGAAAAACGGGTTTTTAGTGATTTACCGATCGACACTGTGCGGGACTGTGTCGTAGGGTCGTTTTAATCCTCTGCAGGTTTATTGATACAGACGGTTCACTTGTTGCAATTCAAAAAAGTTTCTAATTCACTTATTTCTTTCGTCTATTCACTTATTTAACAGGAATTACACTGATGACGATGGAAGAACTGCAGTTGTTTAAATCAAAGATTGTCGTCGTTAAACCAGGCGTTGTATTAAAATACGAAACACTTACAGCCATTTGGACAAACACAAACCTCTAAACGTCCCATCACCAGGATCAACATCATGATCATAATCAACAGCCTGTTTGATGATCCAGTCATGGTCAACATCTGCAGTCAGATGTGTTAAAAGTCCCCAACACTGGACCTGGTTGTTAATTAATTCATTTTTTCCAGTTATTTAACGTGTTTTCAAGTGATCAGAAATCTTTTTTTTGGTAAAGATTTAATACACGTGAGCGGCTTTAAACGCCTGCGTTGACTTGGATAATGTGGAACTCAGATTTTAGCAGAAAAAAAAAAGTGACTTCGACCCAGAGTGTCAGGGCCGGTGATGACCTGCCGTCATTTCTCTCTTCAGGTGAAAAACCCTTTAAGTGTGAGTTCGAGGGCTGCAACCGACGGTTTGCCAACAGCAGCGACAGGAAGAAGCACTCACACGTTCACTCCAGCGACAAACCCTACATGTGCAAGGTGAGGGGCTGCGACAAGTGCTACACCCACCCGAGCTCCCTCAGGAAGCACATGAAGCTGCACTGCAGCAACAAGACGCACAAGAGCTCCGAGACCAGTCCCGCTAACGAAGAGGCTCGCGTCGAGTCCAGGTCGACCCGAGTCGACCAGGAGGTGGCCCACATGAGCCCCACCAACACCGATGTCCCCCTGTCCCCTGAGGTTCGAGAGCAGTCGACCCCGAGGTCACGCTTCCACCACTCTTTTGAGAACAGTCTGGACAGAAATCCAGCGCAGCAGCAGCAGCACCACCAGCATCAGCAGCATCAGCAGCATCAGCATCAGCATCAGCATCATCATCATCATCATCAGCAGCAGCAGCCCCTGCTGGACCCTCTGCTGCTACAGAGAGGCAGCTACAGGTCCCAGTCCTCCCAGTCCTCCCAGTCCTACCACTGCGCACAGACGGCGCACACCTTCGCCCAAAGCTCCAGGACTTTCCCTTCCACGTCCCACTTCCAGAAGAGCCTCGTGAACGGATGGTACACGTGTCACAGCGGCGTGGGCTCTTTCCCACCCAAGCAGTGTCACAACATCCCGTCTCTCTGAGTCCCTGTCCCCACACTTTAATGGCCTTTAGACGGAACTGTCACCTGGACGTCTCAGCTCTTACCTCTTATTGTACTCCCTGTATTTTGCGATCATGGTATCAGATATGTGTGACATTTATGGAGTTATATATTGACTCTTTTTTTCATTTTCCAAATGCTTTATTTGTTGTTGTTATTGTTGTTGTTGTTGTTGTTGTTGTTGGGCCTGTTTTGCCTTAGATTCATCAAAAAGAAAAGTGCGTGCGAGTAATGGTTGCCTGTGTTATTATAAAGCTATATCTTAAACAAGCGGAAAAAAAACGACAAAAGATTTTTTTTATATATATATACATATATATATATATAAAATCTGCCTTCTCAGTGTTTTTGGAACTTTAAACAAAATGTAAAAGTCTTAATGAATGTAACCCAGAGCGCAGGGCTCATTGTGAATGTAAACATATAGGTGTAATGTATGTACACAGACTATATTCCTGTCTTTCTGTCTGTGGAAATAAATCTCTGAATTATCTCTCCTCCAGTCACGTGTTGAGATCCGTTAATGGGCCTGGAGCAGGACCTGTCTGAGCAGAACCGCAGCGAGGCTCAGTGGACTTTTCTGCTCCTTCCTTTTCTGCTCTCATTTGTCTAAAACGTCGATGTTTCCGTGCAGAGTTAGACCAAAAACGACTAGTATTTAAACCGATTCATTGGCGTGTACACTTGTACTGTAAACACAACAGGCGACTACTGTATAATTAATTGTTTATTTTATATTTTATTAAAGTCTCTATATTCCCTTTGTTCCGCCCTGTGTGAATGGTCGCAGCCAATCAGCGCGCACCGATCACGAAGACAAATCTTTCTTATTTTATTACAGTGAAACTTTATACATCTTCTCTTTTCCTTTTCTATCCTCCCGTTATTTGCGCGTTGACGTCTTTTTTGCGCCGATTCTCTGCGCAGCCAGGTGTCACATGTTTGTCACCGGGTCACGTGGCTCCTTCCTCTGCTCACATGTTACTGTTTGATCATATATTCTGTTATTTTACATAGTCTCTCTCCCCCCTCTCTCACCTTGAATGTGCTAACAGAACAAAAACGAACGTTTCAACCTGAGGTCACATGCTTTACAGGGGCCAGAATATATTTATACTCCACTAATATAAAGGCTGAACATATGGACACCTGTGACCCTGGCTTCTTTACTGGGGCCAGTTTTCTTTATTTGAAATAATGTGTAAACCTAAAAACTAAACATTGTTTGAATTTTTTCCACATTAACACTGTTTGAGAACCAGGATGAACTTTTAAAAAAATGCCATATTTTAGTAAATAAAACAAAATAATAAAATGAAAAAAAAACACCTCCACAAAACCTCAAAAATGTTCTTTTAATAAACCTTTATTTATTTACCCATTATATTTCACTAAATTTATCTATTTTTTTAAATAAAATATGCGAATATTTAACTGTTTTTTTTTTCTTTTTAGAGGAATAACCCTGGATGGGAATGGGCCGGATGGTCCCTGCTGGGGCGTCTGCTATGGACCTCGGGCCGTATCTTTGGTATCAGCAGTCACAAAATGTTTTGTGTTACTCTTATAATTTCATTAGTACTATTAATTGAACTTTATTTACATTTCCAAAATATAACTATTTGGTTTTAAATGCACCTCTTATGTGAAAAGTGTCTGAAACTAACATTTTTTTTTTTTTACACAAACGACACATTCTTTATGTTTATAACATGTAAAATGTGCTTTTTTTTTTTTTTTTTTATTGTAGTACTTTTTTTTTTTGTTGCTGCCGTAGTCTTTTTCAGTTTGGTTGCTCCTCTGTTGGGAGGCTGAAGTCGTCCATGGTTGATTATTGTGGTGCAGCTCATTCTTGAATTCACGCTCCTGAAAAAGGAACGTGACAGTGAACAGGTTGGAGCTCAGGTAATGAGCTAATGGAGCATAAAATATGATGTAAAATCATTTATTATAATGTAAATGATACGTACCCAGCTGAGGGGAGCGTACGCTGAGGGCTTTGTTACCGTGGAGGTCAAACTGCTCACCATTGTGATGGATAAGGTAATGGAAATAAGTCCCTGTGATCCACTGCCTCTGGTAAGGCCTCAGCCTTTATACCTGTATATATGGGTGTCAGCATTTTGTGCCATTAAACATGCAAATGATGTCTGTCATAATGGGCAGGGGTTTTTCTTGGATCCTATCAAAAGGAAATCAGGGTCAAAGTGCACTCATTTTCCATGTCTTTGAAAAAAGCAGCTCAGGGTGGTTTGACAGCTGACCAGCAGCAGCTGAAGGTGTTCGTTGTTTCAGGGACAGGGTTTGATGTCTGTCTCTGTATGGACACTTGAATATGTGGGACGAGAAGCTACATTTTCATACTCCTTACACACATTCTGTGCGAGGAGATGCTCATATTTACATGTTTTTGTGTTTTTGCGTGTGGTGTAATTGTTCCTAAGACGTTGCAAATCTGAGGTAAACTTGTTTTTTTGCTGCTTGTTTGTGCTGCTGGTGATACTGTAGACATGGGGGGAATCGTCTTGAGGGAGAATCAAATATTTTGGAGGATACAATCTGCAACTCCCTACTGACTTTAACCATAATTAATTTTAGTTTCATTCCTTTTTTGCCTTAAAAAAAAGTTTCAGGGCTGGTTTTATATTTCAGTGGTGCCGGAATGTTTACGGAATTTTTTTCTATTTCTTCTTTTCTTGAACAAGTAATTTTTTTTTACTTTGTTGTTCTACTCTGCACACACTGGAAATTATCTTTAGGGAAAATAAAAATACATTAGAGAAAAAAATCTTAAATATTAGAATATTTGAATGAATTAAATTTTGGTCTACATTTTTTCCACCGCTGTCTTCCTAAACGACCTGCACGATTCCGTGCAGAGTTTCTTTTTTCACAGTTGGAAAGTTTTCTTCTCAGTGATGTGTTTTTGCACTGCCTATTGTATTTTCAACATTTACTGTTGGTCACTTTTAGGAGAATTTAATAATTAGATAATGAATTTTACAACTGTCTCGGGAATTTTCATTTTTAAATTTTTTTTTTATTTTTGTACAAAAATACATGGTATTACATGGTACATACATGAGCAGTTTGACATTAGCAGACAACAGTGGAATTATGACATCACCATGAATGATTTGAATGAAACAGTGACAGAAATTCATGTGATCCTATTTTCTTTTCATATTTGCAGAAGAAATTCAACGCTTGAATGAAGTGTTTCCAGAGCTGTGGCAGGAAGAACTAATCTCATTTTAATCCCAATCTTTACACATGTATATATACTGTCATCAGATATGCTGCCCTTATGTCTCTTAGACACGATATAATATTTAATCTGCTCAAAATAGGCTACGTACGGAAATCCAGCTGCATGTGGAGGATAGCGGCGGTGAATATCTGGGACCACGGTTTATAAACCCCTTGTTGTGTAGTTGGTCCAAGCTGAGATAATATTCTATAATCTCTGAACCCTGCCACGCCCTTCCCCCAGTAACCACCACTGATCAGACCCAGTTTGCCACTTGCACTCTGCCGCCATCTTTACTCTTTCGCTCTCTGCCTAGCAACAAGCGCAGGCACCATTTTGGAAGCGGCGACGTACAGTGTGTAGACTTGTTTAATGTAAATAAGTTCATTTTTACGGTAAGATCCACAGGATATTTATCTCCGCCCCCCCGGCCCTACCCCCTCTGCTGGCCGCTGTTATGCCATACTTGTGTGGAACTCCAGCTGTGTACCAGGGGGTGTGCTGATGCTGCTGCTGCTGCTGCTGCTGCTGCTTTGTCACACCAGCTCTTTGGTTTTTATGCATCATCATAACCATGTATGACATCTTGCGTAACTCTCATACGTTGAGTTCAAACACTTGGTTCCACGGCTGGAGACCCCTCGTATCAGTATCGCCTCAAACTGACCAAGTATGATTTTAAGTGAGTCTCTGTTTTTTTTTCAGGTCAGGCCAGTAGAGCTGCTCCAACTTTTTTTTTTATCCACACCCCCCTTTTTCTTTTTTTTCTTTTTTAAATACAGGTCTTCTTGATTCTCTCTCATCTATCTGTATCCCTGCAGCTCCTGGCTATCTCCACCCTCTGTGGCTCCTCCATGATGACTGCCTAATCTCTGCCATAGAGTGCCACAGTAAGTAGGCGTCTTCTGCCAGATTCTCTTCCAGACATGCATGGAACCTGACTCACTTATCTGCTTCTTTTTTTCTTCTTCTTCTCTCCATAGAAAAAAAGAGAAACTGGATGAATCTGTACAATTGGCCTAATTTTTCCTCCAGTTACAGAAGCGTTCGACAAGTCAGCGGCTTCATTCAGACATCACTGGTTGCACAATGAGAGCAGCCGTAACAATGAAAAGGAGATTGATTTCAGAGTAAGAAATCTCTTTTTTATCATGGACTCGGATCCTGTATTTTCACTCATTCAATGAATTTCAAATAGAGTTCTCTGTTTTACTAACTAAAATTAATCAGTTAATACACAAAGGATAATATGACGCAAAAAACCCCAAACACAGTGTGTATTCATTCATATCCCATTGACGACCAAATCATATTTACAGCCCAGTAAATACAAACTTAAACTTGTACATTTCAAAGGTTTCTATCCTTTTAATTTACATTTCATTTGTTTAAAAAGTCAATCCCAGTGTTGGTTTAAATGAAGTCATCACGTCTGTTTTTGTTCTAATGTTTTTGAAAAACAAAAACGATACTTCAGTTCGTGTGGAGACAGCAAAAAAATGTTCTGATGCAACGACCTGATGTAAAAATGCTAAATGAAAAAAAATCCTTGATGTTACGGATGTTTGGACAAAACGGTTGACCAATCAAATCTGTCCCTGTGAGGGCCCACTGTAAGGTCACCAGCCACCCTTTGACAAACACTACATTGTATGGCACAACAAACAATAAGATTAAAGCAAAGAGGTGAAATAAATATGCAGTGAAGCCGCAGTCAGTTTTTTTTTTCTCAGTAAACATTAGTAATGAAATCTGTTTCATGTCTAAGCCCTGTGTTAATTTGACAGCTTGACAATTAATAAGCTTTTAAGACACTCCATCAGAGGCAGGGCTCTTATGTAAGACAATGCAATCATGGTGAGGATGTGCACGTGTTTTTGTGTATTTACAAACCATTGGATGATGAAGACGAGCAGAATCCCAGCCCCTGTGTTCTCATGATTTCAACAGATCGATCCTTTAGTTTCCTCATCTTCATCTGCACTGCAGTTTTTTTCCTTTTTTTTTTTTTTGCTTCCCTTGGACCCCCCCCCCCCCCCCCCGCCGACCAAACGGAACCTTAACCCAGTAGAAGACCCTACTGTCATTCTGTCTCTGCTGATGCAGATTTAGTGGAAATCGACTGGTGCTGAACAGTTGATGTTCGTGCAGCAGAAACAGGCCACGCCCACTTTCTATCCATACAGTAGTAATCTTTTCATAACTTTATTTTTTTAACTGAGACTCTCCTCAGAGCTGAAAAACTCATGAGTGATAATTACGCTGCCATGGAAGAGCAAACTGACAGCAAAAGTTTCTGCTACTGTACGAGTTGTGGCCCTGTTTGTAAAGTCCACATCTTCAAAAAAAAAAAAAAAAAAATCAAACTTTCAAGGTTTTTTGGAGGGAGTGAAAGTAGGTTGTACAGGGTGAGCCCACCTTTGAAGATCCTTCAAATCCTTCAAGCTCCAGGCCGTTGAGGTGCATTGCCACCCTTTTAAGGGAATGACCATAACTTTGGTCTCTTCGCTGCTAATCCGTCCTCCAGACTCCTGTCATCAGAGATCAACCAGCCTGAGCCTTAATGTCCTCTTGCTGGCAAGGGCAGCTGAGAGCTTTTATGTTTGTGATGTATCAGATGAATATGTTCAAATCAAATGTCTTTATCTCCACCTTGGCATCTGAACAGCTCCACAGTTTGATATCTTTAAGAAATGATCCTGTTGCAGCTAATGGAAGAACCTGTGTGCTTAATGATCCACATTTTACAGAATGCATTCAATGTTGTAAAAAAGTTTAAAAAAAGCCTTTGATCATGACGCCCGGGGAGCACAATGTCTTAGATTGTACAAAATCAGCAAAGAGAGCTGAAGTGCCTGTTGTCTTCGCTGTCTCTCAAAACCATCACATTTCATTAGCCAGGGTTTTCATTTCTGCGGAGATACAGGATGTGTTTTAGCATGATTTGTCAAATCCCCGCCGTTTGAGGTCGAACTTAAAAAAGGCCTCATCAGA